TGTTTCTGTCCAGACTACCTAGGTAACATGTATAGGTTCATACCCTGCTGTCAGGAGTTAAAAATATGTTCCCGTTAGGATTCATAAAAGGCAGTCTTATGATTAGTACTGTCTAGACTATCAAGTATAATGGTTTCTTGACATTCTTCTGTCTGCATTACAGAGGTTTTGCGAATATTTTTTGTTTCACTTTCCGCTTTTGCACGAATTGTAGAGGTTTTACGAATATTTGAGTTTTCATACTCTGCTTCTGTCCGGCTTTAAGAGGTTTTACGAAGATAAGTTTTGCCATATGGTGGTTTCATGTTTTGCCCTTTCTCCGAATTATAAGGGTTTACGAACATTTGTAATGTCATGCTCTCCTCCTTTCCGGATTATAGAGGGTTTACAAAAAATGTTTTTATATTGCTTTTTGTTAGGGATGTTGTGGAATTATACGAAACAACACTAACGCTGTACCGCTGAACTGTTTTCCCTTAACACATCTAAAATCCGTTCCAGGTGAAAAGATACTTCGAAAACACCTACATCTGCTATACGAAAAATGTGTCGACCTTAAAATACTTCGTACAGAGGCCTGACGTCATTGACTGGAGCAAGCCGGCAATCTTCACAGGTGAGTGCGGTCTCAAATTACTTATAGGCATTGTACTAAGTTAAGTAACAGCTTTGAAAAATATACCGACCAAGCAAATACAGACGTCAACTGTGTTTACGTGTACAATACAATAATATTTTATCTAAAATTACCTATTTGCGGCACCCACCTGTGCAACTCACCTGTGCAACGCTTTTCCACCGTCAGACCAGATGCTTTACTTTTAGAAATAATTAATTTCAGGCTTTTTTTGTATATACATGTTGGCATTTAGAATATTTAGTTTTGAGTGATTTTGTGTCAAACAAAATGGATGAAATTGTTAGTTATCGGGAGTTAAATTTCGAAGAATCAGCATTCTCAAGTTGACAATTCTTAAACTGGGTCACGGTATTTTTCGTGACAAATGCAACTTTTTTCATGTCAAGGTGACAGAAAGGAGGGTCTGTTTCAAATCACGTCGTGTAAGTAATGGATTCTGACGAAAAGCGTGTCCCGAAAACTTACGTAAACCTGAAAGACACGTATGTAAGGTGTCACATGTTTCACATTCAGGATATTTTTGTTGATATAGTAAGGCTACAGTAAACGTTTAAAAAAAATCCAGTTTTGGTGGAAATAGAGCAAAACGAAAAAATAGTCTTACAAATATTTAATGTATATAGTACTTCTCAAGATGTATTCAGATACGAAGCATTAAATTAATGGATGTTATCGCAAAGTTAAACTTACTGAAATTGCAAAATCCATGATACACCCTTCCGATTTGTAACGTGGGCGTACTGATTAAACAGATGTGTCTATACATATTGCCATAATCGTGATTCGTTACTGACCGAATTCCATTTTCGAACCTTAATCTTGTTCTTTATTCGAATTTAATCTTTATACGTTGTAAACACATCGTATTGCCATTTTCCACAGGAGTACCAAATGATCTGGTTTTACTACTCACCGAGATGACCCGGAAGTACAAGGGTACCCTTTCCTCGTGTGAACCCAGGTTCATGTACGCATGGACAAAACAGTCACCACCGGAACTACCCGAGTAAGTCTATCCCAGCATGCACCAGACAAAATGTTGTCAACTGAAATAAGTTTACTCAGTCACTGTCCCTCGGCTTGTTCAAATATATATTTAATACGATGCATTTGATTGTTCGGCTGAATACGAATTTTCTCCACAATAATGCCTTCAATGTACATGTACTATAAACTCGAAATTCCAGGAGCTACTTTCGCTCACGTTCTCTGCATTGCGTAACCCCTGAATTTCGAGGATGTACCTATTATAATTAGCCAATGATCAAAATCAACAGCTGATGTGGGGCTGCTGCAGAATCAATTAGTGACCTAAGTGATCTGTAATTTAAGAATGCCTCATATTTCTTTCAAAAAATCAGCTTTTATTTTTTTCTCTCGTTTCAATTGATCTTATTGTACAAGTAATATTGCAATCATAATGTCCTTTCAAACAAATGTTGTCACATGTCTATAGCTTATGATAAACATGCTTTTTTATGCAATTTTTTATTGGCAGTTTTCTTTTGTTCTCTTTTTTTACGTGTAGAAAAAATGTAAGAGTTTGAAAAGTCATTATCCTAAGCTTTGAGAGACCACATAAACTGGGAAACATAACCGTCCTCATACGTCACATTAAACATTCCAGTCACCTCAATTCCAGCTTGGAAATTAACATAACACTTATCGAACGCACCGACGTGGACATGACCAACTTTAAACAATAAAATATCGAACGCGCCCTTATTTTACCAAATATAGAAGAGAACAAACAAGAAGCGTAGATCGTACTGTGTACACTAGTAACAGGTGGCTGATTGAATTACAAATGTACATCGGTAATTAAAAGCCTCAAATATTTGTATAACAGCTGGTATCTGGTGTACCAAATTTTACATAGTAACAGCTTGCTTGTACTGTGTTTCGTGGGATATGTACTTTCGTGTATATTTCGGAGGATAATTCGTGTTTTATTGTAATGTAGGGACATACTGTTAAATACAAAACAAAATGTATTTCAGTTATTGAATGTACTTGTTGTCTAAACTGCCAATTATGTTTCCATGCTATCCCCATATTCATGGTCCGTCGGTCCAAATGTCCAGTTTGACCATGAATCTCCGATAAAAATATTAAGGAGATGTTTTGTTGTTGTTTGGTATTAATATATGTACACAGTACAGTTGTGTTCAGAGCGTGCCTTCTATTTAGAGCAGTTCAGCCAAGGTCTTTTATGGTCTACGTATACAGTAGCTGTCGCGTGCTAAGTTCGTGACCTCGTTTGTTTAACATGATTCCCCGGGGTAATTTATCCCCATGTCTGGGGTTTTATGACATGAACATTTGATACATTAGTGGGGAACAACATGGTTTTATGTCTGTCGGATCAGGACTGTACAAATAATATCCCAGTGCACGGACCGTGGACTAGACGACAATATGGTGTCCCCTTTTCTTCTTGCCGCCTTTTTATGTGACGCAGAGGAAGAAACTATATACCTGTCGCCCACATAGGAAAACATTAGATTATCATTTGCTATTTTTGACACATTGTTAGGTAATGCAGTTGTCTAGGCATAGCCCGTTCTCAGAATAATTTGAACGGGTTATGGGTTGTCATGGTACCGTATCCAGGATATGACGTTTCACTGAGATGATGCTTTAGTATGCGCTTGCGTGAACCATATTAATCCTTTAACACCATATTTGTATGAATTATAAACAACAAAACAAACCCAGTTATTTTTTCTTTCTTAATTTCACAGCAGCCTACACTTACATGAATTTGGAAAACAAAGAAATATTTTCATTGAAATTTGGAAGATTTTCTTCATTTTTCCCTCTTTGCAAGGGAAACAGCCTGTATTCGTCTGTAAAACTAAGCAAAAAAATCATTGAAACCTGGTAAAAGTGCCGGTACTTATGCGTTAGGTGACCTTACTCTGGCCTAACCACTAGGATGTATACCCCACTTAGTGATAGAACGAGGCGACTTTCAGTGGATGTCCTCTGTGTAAGGACATTAAAGGGGCCTTTGTTGCTCTGTGATTCCCATGACTAATGCCTTTACATTTCCTTGTTTTTCTGAATATTTTTTCTATTTCTATATGATAATTTTAAGTATACTTGTTTTGGACAAAAACAATTTTTCATGTGATTAACATAATAATCTACTATTTTCTTGCTTTGACGAACCTTATAAGACGAGCATTCGCCTAACTCCCTAACTTTTTTCGTTTAACATCATTATTTCCATTTTGTTTTATTCCTTCAGAGTGCCAAAAGGTTTGCGCCTGTCCACCCTCGGACCGGAGCACGTGCCCATCATGTCCCAGGGCTGGGAATGGTCACGGACGGACATCGAGGGTTATTTCCTCAGTGTTGTGGAACGATTCGACAGTTCTTGTCTGCTGGACGAACAGGGAACGCTCCGGGCCTATATGTGTATGCAGTATAATGGTTCTATGGCGATGCTGTACATCCGTCCGCAGTACCGTAAAGACGGGTATTTTAATATCATTCTCAGCGATTTAACACGCAAGATACTCCTAAAGAACAATATTGCCTATGGTTTCATTCCTACAAACGATACTTGTCTCATCAACCAGTCCCGGGAATTAGGATTTGAGTGGGTACCCCGCGGGGATATGACTTGGGTAAAATATACCCCTCCTCCAAAATTGGGGGACCTTCCTCCAGGGAACAAAACGCTGGTAGTAGGCCACAAGAAAGGGGATGTTAAAGAAGGAAACGAGGATGTAAAAACACCTGCGCAACCTCTCTTCATCAACGCAATTCCGCTAACGATAGGGTGATATTTAAAATCATCTGAGTTGTGAAGCGAATGAAAGAAAGAGACACAGAGAGAGAGACAAATACAGGACTGGCTGTTGTCCAGTTCGTTTTGTATTTAAGATATATACAAGAGAGACAAATAGGGAGAGAGAGAGAGAGAGAGAGA